AACCTAAAACTTAAAAAAAACAATATCTTAGAGAGGGAAAGTGGATGGGAAGTGGTTGTTATTGAGAAAGGAAATAGAAACGAAATGGATTCTACTGCTCGCGAGGTTATATAGAGATTTGGTGGTCTTCGTAATTTCGAAGTAAATTACTTCAAAATTGTGACGAACAACGTGTTACAACGAATCATGGATTACATGTTACGACCAATTACATGACACATGTACCAGATTACGACGATATAGGGACTAGAAGGTATTACAATGATTTAGGGACCACATTTTACGACTATTTAAGGACCACATGTGCGTTTTTACGAGTAATTACCTACTCAATTACGACGAAATGTAATTTACGCCAAATGCAGAGAGTTATCATATCCCCGATGATTTGTCCTAGGTAACCGAGAAACTCCGTTACTTGAGAGGAACCCTCAGGCATCCAACATATCTCTATGGGAGCGTTTGACTAAGATATTGTCACAAATATCTTCGACATTTTAGAAGTTTTTTTTTTTTGATTTTTTTTTTGGTGCATCTTTAAAATGGGAGATGGTAACATATTTATAGGAAAATTTTTGACGAAATAGAGACTAAATGTACATGTCGTCGTATAGTTGAAGTACAAATTATGACCAATTATTATTAATTTCATCGTAAAGCAGAGGTAAAATTATGACCAATTAGGGTCGATCCGTGTTTATTCCCTAAAACCAAAACCCCCAACTTCATAAGTTATATATCATTTCTAAACTCCAGACTTCATAACAGAATTTGATTAAAGTAAATTTTGTTTTTGCGGATATAATCTAAACTCCAAATTAAATTAACTCCATAATCTCAGAATTTGAAGAAAACAATACAATATAAACTCCAAACTACATAATCTTATTACTATTCGTCATCGGAAGCATCATCCGGCTCATCCCTTTCTTCAAATTCATCTTCAATGGCTTTTTCCGCTATATCGTCTGGAAGATCTTCATATCCTAGGTTTTGTGGATCAACAAGTAAATTTCATCTGAAGGTTATTCAGACACATCCACTTCATTTACAGCATCTTCTTGCAAAAGCGGTTGTTCATCACTCACTACTCGGCCCCAAGGTGGAACTTTTATAGTGGCTAACCAAGATATTCCAGATTTTCTGATCCTCATATATGAAATAAAACAAACTTGGTCTACTTGAGATGCCAATATGTAGAGCTCAAATTTTTTGTACCTCTGTGTAGCATTGATACCCACACATTTTGATAGATTTGACACTTATCCTTTAGAAAACTTCACATCTGATATCATTCACTTGAACAATGCCGCCTTCGCTTATGTTGACAATCTGATAATAGGAACCATAATTTTCTCATCATTTTTAATATGCAGCTCACTCCTACAACATAATGCAGGTAAATCCAATCTTGAGTTCTTGTTATCTTTTGTCTTTCCGGGAATGTTCAATAATGTATTGATGCTGTTCTCAAAGAATTTCTTCTCTATATGCATCACATCAAAATTGTGTCGCAGAAATAGATCCTTCTAGTAAGGAAGTTCCAAAAATATACACTTCTTGTGCCAATTATGCTGTGTCCCGTAACCATCAGTCATATTTACAAGAGCATGCCAATTACCACCTTCGCTGACTTTTTCCAATGCACCATAGTAATCAATATCATTCTCGATCTCCTCTCCAGATAAATAAGGAGGTGCGGTGTCTCGTACAACAATTTTTTCCTTGAATAATATCTTGTTACGTCAGTACATATGGTTAATGAAAAGAAATTTCCAAAGACAATTAAACCAAGACTTCTTACCATGCTTTAGCTGAAATGCGCTTGTGCTTCCCATACAATAAGGACAAGCAAGCTAGTCTCCCATGCGTAGTCCAACCAGATAACATCACATATACAGAAAAGTCACTGATGGTCCAAAGAAGATCGGCTCGCAATGTAAATTTGGTTCTCGTTGAACAATCATATGTTTGCATCTTTGTTGACCACAATTCCTTATATTCTTCTATCAGAGGCTGTAGGAAAACATCGAGGGCCACTTAGGATGCTTAGGCCCATGTATCAATATACTCATGATAAGAAATTCTTTTTCCATTCACATCTCTAATGGAAGGTTATATGGCGTCAGGATGACTAGCCAAAGTGAGTATTGTCTTCCAGACATTGCAAAAGGACTAAATCTATATGTGCACAACCCAAGATAAACATTGCGAATGTTGTTTGCAAAATCTTTGTGCACCGAATTCAAGTGTTTCTAGGTTTTTTCATCTGAGGGATGATTGATCTCGCCTTCATCCTGAGTATGTTCTGCATGGCATCTCATCGATGCTGCAGTCTTTTCAGATTGGTATAATCTCTTCAGCTTATCTGTAATAGGTAAGTACTACATATGCGGTATGATACCCTATTCCGTCCATGTCCTTGCGGTTTATCGTGGTTTCTTGACAATCTAATAATTATGCATCTTTCCTCTAGTAGATCATAAAGTTGCATGTACACACATCTATCATTTTTGATGGTAAGCCGAGACTATGAACTAGTTCCTGAATCTCATGGTAAGATTCAACACACACATTATCTTCAGACAAATACTCTTTAAACAACTCAGTCCATGCATCTATACAAACTTCAGGTAAGTTATAATCAGTTTTGATATTCATCATCCTAGCTGCCAATGATATATTTAAAGACCTTCTCTACAACTTTCATAAATTGGCTGATTAGCTGCAGCTAACATCTTATAAAATCTTTTTGTTTCAAAGTTAGGTCTTTTTATATATTCTACTATCTCAATTTTTTTTACTTCTACCGCAATTACTGAGATTGTTTCACAATGCATCTGTAATCACATCATGCATCCTATCATGAATATCACTTGATCTTCCTGTAGATAATTTTCAGAAGATAGATACTGTTCTCTATTACTAATATTTTTAAACAGATTACTATTACTAGTTTCATTTGTACTATCACCTTCTTCATAATGAATTCAAATATAATATGGGACAAATACTCTATTTACTTTATGTTTCCAAATCGTTTCACTAAGAACAAACTTGGTATTTTTGCACTTATGATAGATACAATGTTATGTTTTCTGCGTGAAAGACGTGTTTCCGATCTAATACATAAATATCTCTGCTCTATTAAGGAATTTATTTGTTATCTTTCCGCAAAATTTTTATGTACATCCATCCAACTCCAAAGTTCATAAATATTTCGAAACATTTTTTCCATTTATTTATTTTTGTGTATCTTAAAAATATGAACTTTATAAGAAAATTTCGATTTGATAAATGGAAAAATTATCATGAATTTATGATCACAAAAAATTTACTATGAATTAATTACTACTAGATTTTGACCCGCGCTTGAAAAGCGCGGAATTTTTTTATGATTAAAAATTTATATAATTGGGTTTTGTATTAATTTAAAGAATGTTTTGAGATAAAATCAGTTTACCAAAATTTGTGGTGATGATTGTTATTCATTAGTTTTTAGTTTCAGTTTCAGTTTTTATTTTTAGATTTTGTTTTAGATTTTGGTTTTTGGTTTTTAGTTTTTAAGTTTCTATTTTTGATTTTCAGGTTTTCGTTTGTTTTTTTAATTTTTAGATCCGATGAGTTAGTTTGAACTGATATTACTAACAAACAAATCCCAAATAATCGAACATCTAATTTAAAACTGAAAAGATGACAAAATTCTTTTAAAAGAAATTTACAATAGTTTATTTTGTAAATAAATAAAAGCAAAAAAAAGATAACTTGTTTTTTTTTTCAGTTTTTGGTTTTAGATTTTAGTTTTTAGATTTGGTTTTTGGTTTTGCTTTACATTTTTTTTTAAATCAGTATATTATTTAAGAGAAATAAAACAATAAATTATTTAAAAGTTACCATTGAAATTTATCAAAACAAAGTGATTGTTATTTAAAATAAAAAATATATTTTAATATGTTTTAGTATATGATTTAAATAAATGATTAATAATAGAAATTTTATTTTGTTTAAAAATATTAAATACCTTTTGGGCTTGAAAATAATAACTGATTTTTTTATCTTTTAAGATGGAAAGTTAATTCAATGTTTTTGGAGTTTTTCCTTAATACTAAGCTCAAAAACCAATCCATATAATTTATTCTAAAAACAAAAAGTAAACCCAACATTATATCCCATAAATAATCATCGGTTTAATTTAAGTAATGCAGTTCAATTAACTATATGACTTGTATTATTTGTAACACTCTAGAAAGAGACCAAATTTAAATGACAACTTATATCGGTAGATAAAAAGAATGACTCTATTTTAATAGAATAGATATACGCGTAATTTAGTCATCGTAATTTAGTCATCAATTGGATGCAAGAGTATTTGTTTTATAACTATCTTACAACAAACCTATTTCATAGAAATTTCCAGATCCCCCCCTGGATCAGTACTTAGCACGCACCTGGATCAAACTTCTGAAAAAAAACTTGTTCATTCCCTAATCAATGAACACGCATGATGAATGCTCATCTTCTTACAAATCCGTCATTTTGTTATTCGTTATTGTAGATTAACAAACAAATACTTTTTCTTGTCAACATTTTAATCTCTTTTATTGATGGTCAGAAAATACAAGAAGGTTAAAAGGACCCGGATAATACGTAATTTGATCATATATCCTGGCTTTTCTGCAAGCTGATCTACAAATTGTGTACCAAGTTCTACAATACAACCGAAGATGAAGCCATTGTTTTTAGAATACTACCAGACATCTGATAAGCTAGCAAGTTATTTTTTTTTTTTTGAGCTTTTAAAAAAGCAAATACTTACAAACAAATCATCTGATTCGCCCTCACGGGTCTCGAGCCATATGCCTTTTTTCGTCTGGGTACACAGGGCCCGCATCTTATCCAAAAAGGATAAGATATATGTTCTTTTGAACCAAAAGTTGTGAACTAGTTTTTCTAAAGCAGCGCAAGCATAAGAACAATTATAACTGAAGTAAATGTTATATCTGGATTCAGAGTTTCAAACAAACACTAGTCTTAACAGACGCATATGATTTTTTTTTTTTGGAAAGACGACATATGTATGCTAAACAAACACACATACAGCCTTCTAATGAAAATCATCTAGAAAATACTGGATAGGAGATTAGCGGCAGTGGAAATGGCTGCTCCAGTAAGAGCAGACTGAACCACTTCCTCATGGCTTGTCCTCTTTGAGGTTGTCATAGCCATCGCCGCTCCCGTTAATGCTCCAGCCACCATGCTGTTCCTCTGCATCATATATGTGTCGTTATATATGAGATTTAAAGATACACATTAATTTACCTACAATGATGGTTAACGTTTGGTAAGACTCACCCAATCATGAGCTCCTCCACGAGCCTCCTTCAAACCATAAGTAATACCCGAGTATAATCCAGCTGCTAGCCCTGCCATATCATATCAATTAACATCCCAACCCCTGGTTAAATAAACTACTTAAGATTAAATTTACAATGGTTAATTTAACATAATACACGAAGGAACTCACCCCACTGGAGAGATTCTTTTCCTGTATTCTTCACCTAAAGCCCAACCAATACAAACGTTAATTAATTACAAGACCAATCATTAGTTAACTTAGCCTTGTACCAGAAACTTGAGACCAAACTTCGTCTCTTGCACATACACAAAGAGACGTCCATAATATGGATACACGTATATTGGACGTAAATAAAGAGAAGTTAGCGTCCATTTGTAATTAAACTCACCAGTGCTTCCAGAGATTTGCTGCTTTCCCCTGAAAACGAGTGACAACAAATACTATTAACAAACGCGAATCATAATTTATAAAACACTTTTAACAAAATCAGATATACATCTTAATCTCATAAATCAAATATGTCACATATTGTAATTGTAACTGCATGACATAATTAACGGACCTCTGAGATTAGGGAACCTATGTTTCTTGCTGCCGGTATTCTCGCTCGAGTCAAACCCTACCCCTGAATCTATGAATCAAACTGATATTGGTTGACTTGCATGTATTTAAATATGAAGAAGAATAAAGTAGCGGCCGTTTATACCATCAACCACAGTAAAATAAGCTTCCCTCGACACAGCTTGTAAAGCTCCAACCTTCATGATCAATTCCAATCAAGCTATCTTAATACGTAGTCTGTAGAATATATCATCTTATATATATATATATACACACAAATGAAACATCAATTAAAGCTTACACCGGCGGCTTTGACGAAAGAGTCGGCGATGCTGTTGAGAAGAGGATAACCAAGATCGAACAAGCTTGCCTTCTCATTCTCAAATCTTTTTATCTCAACCGTTATCTTTTTTCCTCCACTCGTCTCCATTGTTCTTCGGGTTCTTTCTTCACTCATCTTTCTTTGCCTTGTCTAGTTTCTTACTCTGTTATTAGTACTTAATACTTGTCTCTTCACAACAAGTAAGGAGAAGAATGCCGAACAGAACATGAAGAGCTTTCCCACTCTCTTGACACGTGGTTTTACTGCCCCACACGTGTCTGACTGGAGACAACGTTAATCTTTCATCTTATTAACGTGTCACTTCTTCCCTAAAGACAATGTTAATACGAACTTCAATTGATAGATAAACGCTCATTGGACCTAAAGGTACAAACCAGGATCTCCGGTTATAAATGAGACTAGGTGTCCGGATATAATTTTCTTATAAATATTTATTATTTATTATTTTATTAATTTAAAATAATATTATAAATTATTTTTTATAGTTTTAAAAACCTAAATCAAACATTAAAATATTTTATATGAATTTGCATCAAAATTTATATGCTTATTATAGTGTTGAAAAACATCCACATAATAAAATGTTTTGAAAATATATTTATATTTTTTCTTAATATTTAATTTTAAATTGTTTTATAACTAAATTTTTATTTTTCTTATCTGTATAATATTCTCTAAGATATCTTATGTTTTAATTATGCATGAATATGGATAATTATCCTATTAATTTATAATAAATTAACTAATATAATAACATATAAATTTCTATCACTAACATAAAGTTCGCTTTTAACTAATTTATATATAAATTTCATTAACTGTATCATTAGCTCGAACCGTTCCAATTTTTAATATCTAATATTTAATTATATAATTTAAAGTATCTTTATACAAATAGTTTTGTTTGATTAATATTTAATTAAAATCGAATTTCAAATTTTTTTTTAGTTTTAATTTTTTGATTTTAATTTTTTAATTTTAATTTTTTTAATTTTATAATAGAATGATATTATTTTCAAAAGCCAAAATCAATTATATATAAAATTAAGATATATAAGCATTATCACGTTGTTACAATATTCAGATGATAATAACATATATAATAATTATCTTATTTTTGATTTTTTATAAACTTATTATATTAATTATTCTAAGTTATCTAAGATAATAACATACTAATCTAATTTTGTTTTTTCAAAATTCGTTTTTAATTATAAAATTAGTTATATAAAAGTTTCATTAAGAGTATAATCGATATTAACCACTCTAACTTTTAACGTGAGAGCTCCGTTGCGATCAAAATCGACTTTTAAATTTTAATTTTTAAATTTTAATTTTTAAATTTTATAATAGAATGATATTATTTTCAAAAGCCAAAATTAATTATATATAAAATTAAGATATATAAGCATTATCATGTTGTTACAATATTATATTCAAATGATAATAACATATATAAGAATTATCTTATTTTTGATTTTTTTATAAACTTATTATATTAATTATTCTAAGTTATCTAACATAATAACATACTAATCTAATTTTATTTTTTTAAATTTCGTTTTTAATTATAAAATTAGTTATATATAAAAGTTTCATTAAGCGTATAATCGATATTAACCATTCCAACTTTTAACGTGAGAGCTCCGTTGCGAAAAATCACAATATTATATTCAGATGATAATAACATATATAAGAATTATCTTATTTTTGATTTTTTATAAACTTATTATATTAATTATTCTATGTTATCTACGATAATAACATACTAATCTAATTTTGTTTTTTTTTAATTTCGTTTTTAATTATAAAATTAGTTATATGTAAAAGTTTCATTAAGGGTATAATCGATATTAACCACTTCAACTTTTAACGTGAGAGCTTCGTTACAAAAAATCAAAATTGACTTTTAAATTTTATTTTTTTAATTTTTAATTTTTAATTTAATTTATAAATTTTAATTTTTAAATTTTATAATAGAATGATATTATTTTCAAAAACCAAAATCAATTATATATAAAATTAAGATATATAGGCATTATCATGTTGTTACAATATTATATTCAGATGATAATAACATATATAAGAATTATCTTATTTTTGATTTTTTTTTATAAACTTATTATATTAATTATTCTAAGTTATCTAAGATAATAACATACTAATCTAATTTTATTTTTTAAATTTCGTTTTTAATTATAAAATTAGTTATATATAAAAGTTTCATTAAGGGTATAATCAATATTAACCACTCCAACTTTTAACTTGATAACTCCGTTGCGAAAAATCACTTTGCAAATAATAGTATAGATAAACTATTAAGTTTTGTGTAATCTGACTAAAAAGGACAAGAATAAAAAAAATTGGGTGAAGACTAGAACCAATTTAGACAAAAAACATGATTAAAAGACTAAAATGAGATTATTGGGTAAAAGCCCATTGGACCTAAAGGTACAAACTAGGGTTTTTAAAATATCCGGTTATAAATGAGATATACTATAAGTTTTGTGTAATCTGAGAGGTTGATGGTTTCCTTTTTTTCAAGTAGTTTTTGGTTTTTGTTTTTCTAAAACCATTTTTTATCCAATCAAGCTTTTTGAAAAATTGTTTTCCTAAAATTTAGGGAAACTAGTTTTTAACATAACTACCTATTTTCAAGCAAAAACCAAAAATCAAGATTTTTCAGTTTCTAGTGATGGATTTTTTATTTATGTAATTTATATTATTAAAACTGCTATTTAATAAATATTAATCTAAAGAAATTGGTAATAATATTCAGAAATCAAAAACAAGGCTACTATTAATCAATAACAAAGCTACTGTCTAAATACATGTAACAACATTAGTATAGTATATTTTTTTGTTGAGTATTTTTATAATCTAGTATATTTGTGCAAAGTGTTAGAAATACAGTTTTGACAATACAGTCCCAGCCACTCATAATTTATTATTTTTACTAGAAATTATAGCAAACCAATTAACGTTTTTATTTATAAGTATAATAATTTTGTTACATTTTAATTATTTTTTAGTTTCTTACAAAAATATTTATTATTTTATATAAAGTGGTTAAATAAAGTTCATTCTTTTGCTAATGTCTTACAATATAAATATTTTTTAGTTTATTCAAAAACATGACTATTGTTATATAATATACCATATGTGTAGACTTATATTTTCTACAGTTTAGAAATAGTTGTTAATTTTTATTTAAAATTTAAATTTAAATATATATATATATATATATATTATTTACAGTTATTTAACTCTAAAATTTTACAAAAAAGTAATGCATATATATTTAAATTGTGCACATAGAATTAATTTTCTGTACTTAACCATTAATGAATATATATATATATATATATATATATATTATAGCTATAGAAAATTTTATTAAAAAAAAAATTTCAACACATTTTACTTAAAGTTTTATTGGATAACAACACATATTAAATGTACAAGTTTATAATACAAAGTATATAAATATATAGAAATTATGTTTAAACATAGAATTAAATTTTATATTTATGTTTAAACATAGAATTATATTATTTTAGGTTTGTTATTTATTTTTAAATAATCTTTTTTGTTTTGGTAATGGTATTTTTATATTTTATTATTTCCAGACTAAAATTTTATTTTTAACAAGATTTTCATTTTATTATTTTAAAGTAAAAACCAAAAATTTAAAACCAAAATCTAAAATCACCATTCATGTTTTTTTGAAAAACTAAAATCTACTGCAAAATCTAAAACTAAAAACCAAAATCTAAAATCCAAAAACCAAAAACTAAAAACTAAAAACCAAAATCTAAAAAATAAAAACTAGGAAAACAATCATCAACTGAGTAAAAAGGACAAGAATAAAAAAAATTTGGTGAAGACTAGAACCGATTTAGACAAAAACATAATTAAAAGACTAAAATAAGATTGTTGTGTAAAAAATTGTGAGAGATTCGAAAACTTGTGTGTACTTCATTAATGGAGTTTCTGGTTATTACATAAATAGAGAAGAAGAAGACAAGCCTTAAATGGCTACAAGACTATGCGTGTGAAGTCGACAAGAGATGGAGCGCCTAATTCAAATGATTGGATGAGGAGTTTTACATGTTTGATACCATTGGCATCTTAATTAGATGGCATTCTCTTTTCCATCACCATCCAGCCCGTCATCGAGTTTCTTATCCCTTAGGGTTAACCGAGTGGTGAAAATAAGAGTTACTATTTTCTCTTTTACCCGGACCATCATTCTTCTCTTATCATCGACTATTATGAACATATCAGTACAAACAAGAACTGTACGGACGTACGAAATCCGCACACTCCACCCTGTATTTGCACCATCCCAAATGTTCTTAAAGTCATGATAAAATGGGTCTTGGTTAATCTGGTCCATACAGTAGGTCGTACTGTCCATACGGTCCATACAGTACGACCCACTCACCCTATATATGCACCAACTCTTCTTATCCTCATCTTCTACACTTAGTCTCCAACATCCTTCTCTTTTATTACTAACTCAACACTCCCCCTAAAGCTAGGCCATGTGGAATAAGTCTAGTTTGGAATGCTATGAGATCTTCTTCATTAAAAACTTTACCATGGACAATCCTCCTTAGGAATAAAACCTTGATAAAGAAAAGAGTAAAGACCCCATAACGAGGAGATTAGCTGGTTATAGAAAGATCCATGAGTCCCAACCTGATATGGATGGACTCCATGATCTTTTGTCTTGCTGCCTTAGAGAACACATCTGCTAATTGATCCTCACTCCTTGTAAAGCATGGTAACACCACTCCAAGAACTATTATCTGTCTCACCTTGTGACAATCTACCTCAATATGCTTTGTCCTCTCTTGGAACACTGAGTTGGAAGCAATGTGGTGGCCGCTTGGTTGTCATAATGCATAGTCATTGGTCTTGATTGATCAATCTCCAAATACTTCAGAATTCCCTTGATCCAAACCAACTCATTTGTATGCTTCAACATTGCTCTATACTCGGCTTCTTCACTTGAACATGAGACCACCTTCTGTTTCTTGCTCTTCCTTGTCACTAAGTTGCCTCCAATGAATATGCAATAGCCTGTGGTTGATCTCCTATCAGCTCTATCACCAGTCCAATCCGCATCAC